CTATAAAAGGAAGCAGAAATACGAATTTTAGGTCTATAATAGAATTCGAGGCGTAACTTCCTAGATAATGTATAGCGCGCCTATTTATTAGACTATATAGTAGTCTAGTCTAGTCTAGTTTAGTTTATAAGAAAACTAGTATACGGACCTAGTTTAACGACTACGTACCGGCTATAGACAAAAATCTAATCTAAAATTCGTCTAAGTAGCCTAGAATATAAATATAATCGTATAGTATATATAGTATAAGGCCCCCGTCCTATTCTAAAGTCGATCCGAGGTTTTCGTATATTATTATATATTATTATAGCCTAATTGGATTTTCTCGGAAACTAGTTTAGAACTAGTATAGTAGCAAACTAAACTAGAACTAGGCGGCTAGTTTACTACTAAGAAACTAAATCGTATCCGTTTTATAGTTCGTAATCGTAAACTAAAGTACTATAAGGTATACTACTAATAATACTAGCTAGGAACGGAAATAGCCTATATTAGATAGGAAGAGTACGTAATTCTATATAAAGGCAATTCTATAATAGTACTAGTATCGGATTATAATAGGGCTCGGTTAGGTAGCTAGGGCTCGGTTTAGTAGCTAAATAGTACTTCTAGGGTTAGGCGTGCCTTTAAAAACTAGCCTCCCTATCCTCTATACTAGTATTTAGTTATTCTCTAGACTAATAGATACCTTTTATATAACTCTCGCCGGCTCTACTCTAACTAGTAATAAGCCTCCCTATCTAATATACTAATCTAATAGATACCTTATTCTTACGCAACTTAAGAAACTTATAGCTAGCGTTACCTAGGTACCTATAGATTTATTGCTCCGCTCGATTTAGACCCTTATATATTATTACGGTAAAGCCGGACTAGGATCGGTAGAAGGAAGTCTCTAAGAAGGGCTAGTAGAGGTAGACAAACGCTACTAAACTTAAGAGTTAGGGACGCAAATATAAAGCTATAAAGGCCTAGGAGCTATCGCTAAGGGACCCGAGTTCCGCTCGTATACGATATAGTAGACCTTTTAAATACGCCTAACCTCGCAGATCCGTAGAGATAGATATAAATTAACTATTTCCGTACGCTTTCTAGATACTCTTATACTATCCTAGCGACTACCTTTTAATTATTAACTACTATAAACTATAGTACTAGGATATAATAAGATTACTATTAATATAATTTACTTACTAGAGAGAGAATAGGGCGGAGGATATCCTAGAGGCTTATCTAGCGTATATTTATAAGGTAGTCCTACTAGGCCTTACTTAGGCTTAGCTTTTACCTCTCTTTTCGTTTTATCGACGTCTATAAATTAGGGTACTAGCGTATAGTAAGATTAGTTTTACTAGAATCTACTTACTACGCTTTTTATTCTTCTAGGGATAGCCTTAAACTTTATAACTTAGTAGATCGCCGACTAGTAGGCTAACTAGGCCTCGTAACCGAGTATCTAAAGCGCTTTTATTAAGATCTATAGGTTAGGGTATTAGTATCTAGTAAGATTGTTATTAAAATAGGTTTACTTACTAAGCGCTATAGCCTTAGCGTCTAGTATAGTAGTAACGCGTAGGATAGGCGAGGCTATAGTAAGTAAAATAGTAATTATTAATAGGAGTTTCGGTATCGTTACTTTTAAATAGTAAAGATTAAATCTTCGATAGTAAGTAGTATTTTATATAGTAATAAAAGAGAACTCGAGTTCGGCGGAGAACGTATATTTTATTATTTAATCTATTATTACATTTATTTAGGCTTTAAACTCTTTCTCGGTAGTTAATTAGCCGTCTTATAACGTAGAGTATATAATTAGAGTAAGGAATATTATTATACCGACCTCTATATATAGAGCTAATAGATAGATCTCTAGAATATCGTAATTAGACTATAGAGGATAGACCCTATAGTAGTTCGGGTAAGTTTAGTTTAGTTTGCTAAGCTAAATTTCTAGTTTAGTTTAGTTTACTAAGGAACCGGTATACGGACTGGTTTGCCGGCTACGTACCGGCTACGGACAAAAACCTAGCCTAAAATACGTCTCAATAGCCCGAAATATAGATACAATCGTATAGCGTATATAATATAGGGCCCCCGGACCCGATCCGAGGTCGTCGCATATCGTCGTAGTTTAGTCGGATTCTCTCGGAAACTAGCTTAGACTAGCGGGGTAAACAACTAAACCGGAACTAAACCGGAGGGCTACCGCTAAGAAACTAAACTGTATACGTTTTATAGTTCGTAAACCGAACTACTACGGGGTCTAATAGAGGAAAAGCGATTAGGCTTCCCCGAGAGGATACTTTCTATATTATTAGAGGAAAAGGGGGTTACGTAGACTATATTAGGTTTAATAGAGGAGGAAGTCGTTAGAGAAACTAATAGCTAGCTTATAGTAAGACGAATTAAGACGATCTAGGCCTCTATATATATAGATAATACTTCGAGAGAAAGCTTAGATAGGAACCTTAGTTAATCTTTACTTATTATAGCTAATAGTATAATACTTAAAGCGTTAGTAGTAACCTAATAGAACTATTAGGATCTAAGAGCTTTTAATTTCTAAGTCTAGTATAGGGTAATACCTCGGACTTTAAAGTTAATATAATAATATAACTATAATACGCGACGAAATTCTTTTTATTCGGATTATAAGGCGTAGATAGGCCCCTATAACCTCCTAAGGGAGGCTTAAAAAGACAGGGACGTGTCCTTCGAGATATTATAAAGAGTACTCGGGCCTCTTAAAGGCGCTAATTAGAGTATTATAGAATCGTTAGCGAAGTATTACGGCTATCGCCTAGGGAGCTAGATTTTCTTTATATACGATATCTCTTTATAGCTTAGTATTTTTATTCTAATAGTAATACGTATAGTTAGTCTATTAATAGGTTTCGCTCGTCGTTATAGTAGTTATTTAACTTTATCTTAAGCTCGAAAGGGCCTCCTAAAGAACGAAGAGATAGTAGCCCTTCTTTCGATTACGTTAAACTTTATAGAATAACTATAGTAAAAGATCTTATATAGCCGTTTCCGTAGCTAGATATAAAAAAGAGTAAATAGTAAGTACCTATACTAAAGTAATTACAAAGTTAAAAGGAATATAGAAATAGTATCTCGCCTAGGGCGGAGAATCTTTTTAGATAGTTTTATAATCTAGTAACTACTTCTTATTTTCTAATCTAAGGATAGCCTAAAGCGTTATTACGAGGTAGGTCGCCTTTACTATCTAGTAGGGCCTACTTAGCGTCTACCGTACTTTTCTTAACCCTAGGATAGCTTAGTAATATACCTACGCCTAATTGCTTCTAAGCGGCTACCTATCGTTTCTTAACGTCTATAAATTGCAAAATAAGTATATAGTAAGATTAGTAGTATTACTATAATATACTTACTAAAGCTATTAGTATAGCTTAGAGTATTAGATAGAGAGGCCGGTACCTCCCCTAGTAGATATTCTCTAGAAGGGTCTAGAGGCGGCTTTCTAGCGTCTACCTCTCTTTTCTTAACCCTAGAATAGCTTAAAGCCTAATTGCTAATTAGTACGCGTACGCCTAGTTACTTCTAGGCGGCTATCCGTTATTTCTAAAGTCTTAACGACTATAAATTATAACTATAGATTTAGTATATAGTAAGATTAGTAGTATTACTACGGTATACTTATAAGGGCTATTAGTATAGCCCGGAGGACTATATAGATAGGCCGGTACGTCTTTTAGTAGATATACTTTAGAAGGGTCTAGGTTTAGAAGCGACCTTCTAGTATCTATCTCTCTTTTCCTAATATAATATATCTATAAACTAGGAGATTAGTATATAGTAATATTAGTACTACTTTAATTTGCCTACTTAGTATAATATTATAAAGAGAGTCTAGCTATTCCTTAGCGTTTATCTCTCTTTTCTAGGGATAGTCTATAGCCCTATACGGATCGTTATAGTAAGATAGTAGGGATATAAAGGCGTCTATCTTTTTTTCGATCTCTATAGGTTAGTATATTAGTATATAGTAAAATTAGTATTAAAACGGCCTGCCTACCTAGCGCTATACTATTAAGAGAGCCTAACTATTCCCTTAGGCTAGTAACTACCCTAGCGTCTACTATAGTAATAGCGTAAATAAGAGGCAAGGCTATAGCTAGTAAGCTAGTAATTACTAATAGGAGATTCATTATTACTATAGAAGAGTATAGAAACTAAATAGTAGAGATTATATCCCTAATAGAACGTAGCCTTTATATAGTAATATAAGAGAACTAGAGTTCGATAAACTTACTACTAATATATAAATATATATATATATATATATATATATATATATAGTAGTTATAGTACGTATAGTAGTATCTTTAATAAAACGCTAGTATATAGTAGCTAATATACGAGATCGGGAGTATATTCTATAAGAAGGGAACGTATAATTAATTTAAGAGAATTATTAGAGTAGCGTAGAGGTAGCCTATATAGATATACCTTAGTAGATATCTTATAGGAATATTAGAATATACGCTTCTATAAATATAGCCTCTATATACTATATAATATACTAGTGTCTACCGGTGCATACACGTCGGGTATACCCGGATACTAGGATATCCGAGGATTATTAGGTAGCCTAGCCGGCAACACGCAGGACACTAGCGCATCCTATAACTCCTCCTTGTATGCATACACTAGCTCACGTTTACGCCCCTGCGTACATGGTGTATTACAGAGCGTGTACACATGCCCATGTGTATGCAGCTCCATCACTACTTTCCCGGCAGTTGATTATCCGGGATCTCCTCGCTGTCTTCCACCGCGGAACCTTCTTGCAGAATTGTGACATGCGATAGAACTAGGGATCGAAGGCCATGCGTCGGCGACTCGTGCGCACATCGGCCAGATGTGACCAAGCAGTTCTCTGGGATGTCGCGATAAGACTGTGGAGTGGCGCAATCCTTTAAGCTTCCTCGAGCGAATGCTTCCTGCGTTAGAGAACTCTACGTGATACTACTTCAACCGGTTTTCGTTGTAGTAGTTGGATGAATGGCCGCGACTGACGACAACATGGAAGACTCTCGAGTGTCCAGTTCCGCTATGTCGAGCAACGACGGATCCGAGTGGGAGAAGGAGACGTTATTGCGTGGAGGAAGCAAGCCAAGGCCCGTTTTACGCCTCACGAGGCTCAATTTGTGTCTCATCGTGGCATCGGCGACGTTGATCTCGAATTGCTGCCTTTTAGCCTTTGCTGCTATGATTTGGCCCAAAAGCCCTCCTCATCCATCAAGCTCAAGTCAGCAAGCTTGCGAAACGGACGATCTCCCTCTCGATAGTAAGTTGAGAACACTCTTGCCTGCCTTCGCGTACATGCTCACCTCAAACAATGCCAACTGACCTGGTCCAAATCTTGGTGTAGAGGATGCGATCATGAACCGCTTCGATCGTTCATATCACACTGTCACGTTTCCTGCATGGAACTATACAAACCCCCCACACACCGTTCCGCCCAATGGTGAGAGCTACGAAGAGTCGCGAGTAGATCAGCTCTGGACAGAGCTAGGCGTTCATTGTCGGTCGAACACCAAGTGTACTCATGTTTTAGCGGCTTTCTAACAGTCTGGCAGCCAATTTCATCACCATCCCCGTATCACAAGGACCTGCGCATGGCCTTGATATACATCGGCATGTCATTCTCCCAGAGAAGATAAATGGAGAAGACCATTTCATAGCGACGATAGAGGTCGTCCATCACCTTCACTGTCTGGTTAGCCTGCACTCGATGACGAGTCTCTTGGATCGTACGACTGACAGTTCGTTAGAACATGCTGCGCCAAAATCTGTGGTACCAAAGGGACTGGTATAAGGAGCACCATGAAAGCGATGCAGCAGAATCGCTGAAGATAATACATATCAGTGAGTTGAACATGTGACGACGCGTGAGATTTGAAGTATCATGGTGTACTGACGATAAGGCCTAGACCATTGCCTGGACAATCTGCGTCATCGTTTGATGTGTACTGCCGACCGTGGCCTTGTGCCTTGGACGTGGGCTTCAGCTCCGAGCGGCATAGTTGTGGATTTTGAGCGAGCACATCGCTGCCGCAATGCACAACCCATATTGGACTGGGCCATCCAGAATCAGTATCCTGACAAGCCCAAGGCAATCCACTTCAAGATGCCCAAGGGAGCCTATCGAATACCATGGGAACATTTCGTCTCACCTACCGACCCTCGTGCTAAGCAGTTTACTTCAATTTGCAGTCCAACTGCAGAGGAGTGCCCTCGAGAGGATTGAAAGCGGCCGCGCTTTCTCTGGGCGGCGACTGCGATCTCCATCTCTTGCTGTTGCGCTACAGGTGTGCTGGACTGTTAGGATCGATCTGTGTCCGACGACGAATGGGCAGAGCGTGCGGAAGACGGCGCCATGTCGTGCTCGATAGGACTGGGTACATGGTCGTTGGGGAGGGTTGGCTCCGGTGCTAGTTCTATGCTGTGGCTGTGGCTGTTCGTTGCAGTAACTTAGGCGAAGGGCGGTGTACATGTGGAAAGGCAGTGTATACAGCAAACCGGAGGTGGATGTGGATGAGGACTCGACTCGGAAAAACAAGCGAGCGGCCCGAGGTCCGCCGCGGCTTCTCCCCACCATGTCATGTCCATCTTTCCCGGTTCATGTGTTGCATTGTTGTGACTATAGACTTAGGTCCCAGCACCGCAGCGTCATCCCTTCGGCCACGAGGTCGCAGAACGAAGCGGGCATAGAGTAGCCGGAGAGCACAAACGAGGAACGAATTCATAGGCGTTGGACTCCCGAAATGGACTGTGGCCTGCAAGGTAGAATAGCACAGGTCCTGTATGACTTGACATGACGCTCGTCTGCTCGAGCGTGGCCGTACCCTTCTCTGGCATCATTCACTCCTTGCCCAGCCACTGAACCACCGTACGAACGCCGTGCCGTGGCCGTAGTAGCATCACGGTCCCAGACTCGGTCCATGCTCGTGAAGACACCGGACTGGGCTGATCTTCTGCCTGCCCTTCCTCGTGTGTCTCTACCATCTTCGTAGGCGATCTTGCATGCCACGGCCGATACGAGCACACCCTGACGTCGCTCTTGACACAGCACGCCATCGGTCGGGTCCATGCGCTCCCAACAGAGCAGCAGACCAGCTCTCTTCGTTCCCTTCCTCGCTGACCAACCGAGAGGCCAACACAACCGTGGCGGCCAGCATGGCAGTCACGATCACGCCAAACTTCACAGAAGAATGACGGCAGAGATCGACATGAAACCGTCAACTGCCGTACGCACCGTTTCCGCCGCTAGGTACAGTACAGTATTAAGAAAGCGTGAAAAAGCTTGAGAAAAGCTTGAAAAAGCTTGAAGGTCACGCACCGGGCCCGTATAAAGTCCCATACCAGCGTCCGAGCGCCTAGTCCTTCCAAGAATAGGGTCAGCCTGCCGCAGCGGACTCGGTGAGATATCGAAGTCCGCTCCGTGGTATACGTAACTATAGAAAACGTAATGTCGATGTCTCTGCGCGTCGCGGTTGCTAGGTCGACAGGTTAGGGTAGTAGCAGTAGTAGTAGTGCGATTTCCGCTAGCATACTAAATATCGATAGTAAGAGGTCGTACGGTCGCAATTTGATAGATTTCGTACTGTTTTTATAGTGTTTAACGACCCCGCATTCTCTGCTAGTAGATACTAGTTATATTACTAAAAATAAAGCTAAAGTTTGTTAGTAAAACAGCGGTATAGTAAAATTCGAGGTGTAGTTAGCGATTACGGCCATTTTAATAGCGTTAATATATATTAGAGGGCGGCGGTGTATAAGGCATGCTACTATAGACCTATATCGCGCTCGGAGGCGCGTATTGCTACCTATTTAGTGCCGGTAGTGTCGGTAGAGGCATATAGAAGCTATTAGTTACCTACGCGACCTACGTAACGGCGGAATTTAAAGGAAAACGCGACAAGAACGCGTCGATACCGCCTAGAACTACTAACGGCGCTTCTTTACCAAAATTTAGCTAAGCTAGCGCCGCTAGTGTTCGCTCGGATATATATTCTTGCCCTACCTATTTCTCTACCTATTTCTTCGATCGCTTCGGCTTCTTACTCGTAGTATCTACGCTCTTGCCCTTCCGCTTCTTTAGCGGCGGCGCTATATTAGTCGCTTTTAGAAGGCAATAGCTCGATATAATATCGCTTAGCAATAGCGCTTATAATAGCTTCGGCGGCGGCGCTTTTATTAGTATAAGAATAGCTTCCGGATAAGTGCTCTTAAAGTAAGTAAGGACGAGGTTAGTAAAGCCCTTCCTAATATTGTCGCCGCTCTCGTAGAAGACTGTTAGCATCTTCGAGATAATAACCTCGCGTTGCTTGTCGCTCTCGTCTATGCCTTGTTAGTCGTATAAGCGCTCGAGTTGAAAGATTAACTCGTACGCGTTAGTAAGTACCTCGCGGACGTTTAATCGATAGGTAGGCGCGTATACGACCTCGGCGGCGGCGGCGTCTTCTTATACTACTATCGACTTAGAAGCGTCTTCTTCGTAGACCTCGAGAGCGCGTCTAGCAAATATATTAACCTATTGTTGCTAGTAATAATCTTTAATAATAACGCGTTTAAGTATAAGGTAATAATGCTAGAGGTCGGCGCAAAGGACGCGATATTAGCGGAAGAATTTACAGTCGCAGGTAAGCGCGCCTGCCTCGGTTAATAACGGCTTCGGGTCTTAGTATACGGACTTGTTAAGAACGCGATTAATCTTAGTACTAATCTTGCGCTAAATAGGCTATAGAAGGCGTAGAAGCTAGGTCCGGAGCTCGTCGTCGTCGCCGCGCGCGAGTAAGTGTACGTTTAATACCTAACGCTTACTAGCAATGTCCGACCGAAGGTCTCTAAGCTCGCCCTCCTATATTGTTTGTATAGCCACGCCTGTTAGTGTAAAGTTAGCCGCTATTAGCGACTTATTGCCGTCTATTTTAAGACACGCGTAAAAGCTCTCGTTTATATTAGTATCCTTGTATTGTCTAACGATAGTAGGCACGTTATAGACGCGATAGTGGTTTGCCTATAGGCGAATATCGCTGCCGAAGTCTTAAACTAAATATGTATAGTTTAACTCGTAATCGCTGTTTCGGGGGAGGTTATCGATAGCGGCCTAGAGCGACTCTTTCGCGCCTTCGAGCGAGCGGCGGTATACTACGGCGGCGCGTAGGTGTTTACGTGTCTCTTAGTAGATTTTCGCGCTAAAGCGTCTGTCGATAGTGCGCTAAACGTAGACGTAGCATAGCAGGTGTATTGTCGTCGTAAATGCTATTCGAACTGCGCGTCGCTCGGCTGCCGAGTCGTCTATAAGGAGGAATTTAGGTACCTAAATACCGCCTGTCTACCTGCTTATAGTGCGCAAAAACTCCGCAACAATATCGCCGTCGTTAGTAGGTAAGAGTATGTATACCGCCGTACGAGAAATAGTATATTTATCCTTTACTATAATAGTATAAAGAAACTAACCTAGGTAATTAGTCTTGTACGTCGCGTCTATAAACGCGATCGTACGATAGGCTTTAAGCAGTTCTATACTAGTTTTGCTAGCATACACGACGCCGTAGGTAGTCTCTTTATCGATTTAGCGTATAGCTTCTATATTCTCGCAAAATAGCCCTTCTATAATAATATATTAGTGATTGTTATAATAGAAAACCGCAAATGTAAACAAAAGAATCCTAAAGTTTAGGGTTCGGTCTGCCAAGGCGCGCTAGAAGCCGGACCGAGGTATTGCCGCAGCTTCTAAATTATCTTATTAGCTCGAAGCTGAGGCTCTGCGGCGCTTCCGCTTTAGGCGAAGAACTTTAGAATCTCGAGATTCCACCTTTCGTGTCTAGTATTCGCAGGCAATCGAGTCTAATATCTTTATCTATCGAGCTAATAACTTAGATAGACTTCCGCGTCGATCTATTAGTTAATCGGAGTCCGGATACGCGGGCGCGACGGTCCGCATAGCTGTTTTTCCAACCTTACGCCCTAGCTTAACAATAATAATAAGATTAACTAACCTTATTGACACTACTCGAATATATCTTCTTTCTATGTTTGCTATACTAGCGACGCGCCGCCGAGCCTTCTATCCTTATATGCCTTCCGGAAGGCGCGACTAGAATTAAGTACGTCGTACTTTATTATAAAATTGCCGCCGGCGGCCTTAAATAGCGTATTCGCTGCTAGGTCGTGCTAAGCCTTTAATGTCTTCTATACCGCACTCGGCTTGTATCTATAGCATACCTCGTACCCTATAGTAGTTAATAACGCGCTATACCGGCGGAAGAGGTCGAAGTTATCTAACTAGTAGTAGTCCGAGTAATCCTCGCGGCTTATACGCTAAACTCGATACGCGACAATCTCCGGCTTACTAGACTTATTATCCTTATTATATATAGTATATACCTTCATCGTTATAGGGCAGCCTTGCGCGCGTTCAATCTTCTTATTAAAGCGCTACGCACTATACCCTTTAGTCTTATCCGACTTCTAGTATAGTTGCTTACGAAAGCGGCAAATATAACGCGTCGTTTCTAGCCTACTCTTCTCGATATAGTCCTTGTTCTTTGTCTATATATTATTAATATATAGCAACAACGCGTACTATTACTTTGCCGGCACCTTAAACGAGTCGTCGAAGCCGTATAGAATAGCTCGTTCGCGCTATTCGCGGAGGTTATCGACATATAGTAAGGACGCGTAGTACGAGTCTAGCTTAACTAGAACTCGAGACTTTCGAGGGCGGCGATAGTCTAGGGACACTAACGCGTTTTTATTACTAGAATCGACTAAATCGTCCCCTTCTTCCTCCTCTACCGAAAAGTTAGCGATTCCGACCGCGCTCCGCTCTCGTCGCAATCTTATACCTAGCGCGAAGTTACCCTATGCCTGCGATACTAGAATATCCCTATCCCTACCTCCTCTAAGGTAGTCCGCAATTGATATAGTATTAGAAGACATTAAAGGTATAATTTAAATAATAGAAGAGATAGAAACGATAGCGCAGAGCGATAGTAAGGTACGATAGCAAAGTAGAAAACAATAACCTAAACAAACCGGTACGCGTCGACGCGTAGGAGCGGAAGCGTATACAATCTACGCCGACCGCCGCTCTATAAGGTCGGAAGCCCCGGTTAGCTATAGGTTAGGCGCTCGGACGCTAGTATAGGACTTTATACGCCTCCTACGCACCTATGCTAAAGAAGTCGATCTTATAGGGTTGCACGGATATACAATCTCGTATTGTTAGGCGGGCGCTCTTCTCGAGTCTCGACGTCCCTAGCTACTAAACCGAGCCCTAGCTAGCCGCCCGAGCCCTAGTATATCCCGATACTAGCACTATTATAGAATCGCCTTATATAGAATTACGTACTCTTTCTACCTAATATAGGCTATTTCTATTCTTAGTTAGTGTTGTTAACGGGCGCGTAGCGCGTATTAACGGGCGCGTAGCGTATTACCTAGAAAGGAATTCTACCGTAGACCTAAAATTCGTATATCTTCCTCCTTTTATAGTAGATTGCCTAGTAACTATCGAAAATAGCTAAATCTCTATTATACGACGAGTTTCTCGATAATCTTATCGCCGGCGGCGATAACGTAGTAGTAGAAGACGTAGTAGTAGAAGACGTAGTAGTAGAAGACGTAGTAGACGCGGTAGTAGAAAGCGCTTAGTCGATAGAGATAGTAGTAGAAAGCGCGGAAGACGCGCAATCGACGATAGTAGATATTAAGTCGTAGAAGGAGGTTTAATTAGTTTCGGAGACTTATATTTAAGGTCGCTATCGCTATTGCTTACTATCGCTACCTCGCGAGCGTATATCGCTTCTAGACTATCGATCGGTGTCGCTACGCCCTTAGAAGCACCTATTCTTACTAAAGGAGCGTTCTCGTAGTCTAATACCGCGAGAGTCGTAGTTTCTATTCTATCGAGCTTTCGAGTCCTATATCTACGCCTTCGGAAAAGCGACTAGGTATAAGTTTAAGTAGTATAAGCCGTAGAAGAATAAGAATAGTATTAAATACCGCTACCGCTTCGTATATAGTTGCTTCGGCGTACTAGATAAGCGTATATAGAAATAGGACGAGGTAGCGATATAGCGAAAGTCGACCTCGAAGAAGATAAGGTATAGGTTCTATTTCTACGCTATTACTATCGATCTAGCGCAACCTAAAGGTTAGTAAGTTATTCGCTATTCTATAGAAGAAGACTACTGTTTCTATAACTACGAGAAAAACGATATTGTCGCCCTTGCTATATATAGAAGGTAATCGAGATCGGTCTAGTTCCTTAAGTAACTAGAGCGGCTTTAGTAAGCGCGAATACTAATCTCGAAGATTATAGTATACTTTCGAGGGCGTAGTATACTACTAAAGCCGAAGGACATTAATAATATTGCCTAGTCTCGTAATATTAAGGCATGTCGATAACTAAACTAGGCTAAACGTATAATTAAGTTGCTAGATAAATACGCTATATTCTACGACATTATTAACAACCCGGAAAATAGAGCTATTCGGTATATAGTTGCCCTCTATCCTCGCTTAATAGAAGCCTTTAAGAAGACGCTATATACGCTTATATTAGATACGACATACTCTACTAACATCTACAACCTCGAGCTAATAGATATTATTAGTACTAGTCCTTTAAACGATACGATTAAATTAGGCGTTAGTCTTATCCGTCTAAAGCTAGACAAACTAGACTTCGTTACGCTCTTAAAGGCCGTCCGGAAGGGCCTTAAACAAGCCGATTGCGCTATGCTATCGGTTATTAGTACTAATCGTAAAGAGGCTCTTATAGGTGCTATTAAGGAGGTGTTTCTAGAGTCTACTAATATTGTATATAACTAGCATCTATAACAAGACATACTAACTCGAGTTTGGAAGGAACGAGGCGAGTTTAGTTAAGTTAAGAGCGACGGTAGCTAGACAGACTTACCTTAAACTAACAAGTTTCTACGGCTCTTTACGTATACTATCTATAGTTAAACTAAATAGGAGTTCAATAAGAACGTAAAGAAGTTAGACAACGTGTATCCTATATTTAAGACCTACCTTTATAATAACTAGTAGCGTTACAAGGCTTATATTGTCGACTGCTAGACTAACGAGGTTCTTTACTTTAGTTGTAAGACAACCTCTCGAGTTGAATCTATATATAGACGTATTAAACAGTAGCTTAACTATAGCAGCCGCTACGACATCTTTACGCTCTTTAAGAGCCTATTATAATAGTAGCAAGAAGGTTACGACCGCCGTTATGTTGCTCTTACTAAGAACCTAAAGAGGTACAATAAGGCACTAGCTAGACTATTCTAGGCTAGTGTTTCTCGTATAATAAGCGACTATTACTTACTCGAGGTAAAGGCACTATATTTACGAGCTAAGGACCTTCTGCTTACTATAACCGACGACGACGGCAACGAGGTAAAGTACTTAGCGTTCTCGTATAACTGTTTATAGTGCCGCTATAACGACTACCTTCGCAAGACCTATAGTTATCTATGTATCTACGACTTAATAAAGCTTATTAAGACAGGCGGCAATCGCGCTATTCTATTGCTAAGTTACTTCTATAAGCACTAGTTTATTAACTTCCGTAGAACGGTCCGTCTATAAGAGCTAGAGGTTATCTTTAGCAACCGCAAACCTCTTACTAGCGGAGCTATATTATATATAACAAAGCGCGCTACTATAGTACGTAAATTAGACGACCTAAATAAGATAGCAGTCGCTAAGCGATAGAAGATAGCAATAGCTAGAACGACTAAGTTTATACTCGAGCCTAGCGTCTTACTTACTTAGCTAAGAACGACCGTTAAGCACTATAAGTACGTTAAGAGCTAATGCTATACTTAACAATGCCCTTGCTAGAAGGCTAATCGTACGTATAGCGCTACTTGCTATCTAAGCGGCTTCGAGTGCTATAATCTACGAGTCTAGTCTTTACTTCTAATAGTACTAGAACCTCCTTCTAAGCTAGATTCACTCCGCCGAGAGATTAAAGACCTCCGAGTACGTAAGAACACTCGATTATAGGTAGAAGAATAACGTACGAGATAGTAAGCAGACTATAGCCGCTAGTAGGCGGCATTATATAAGCAATAACAACGATAGGCTACTTAGTAATAGTACTAGTAGTCGCTTATATAGCTAGTAGGAAGGCCGCTTTATTAATAGGTGCTATAGTAATAGCACTATTAGTTTACTTAGCAATAGCACTATTAGTTCACTTAGTAATAGTAGTATGCTAGTTAGCAACTAAGAGACTAGTATAAGCTAGCATATATAGCCTCGCGTGGTTACAAGGCCGTAGGTCGCAATCCGATTAGACCTGAGTAGATAGCAACTAACAATACCTTCAATTTTGCTATACTACTGATTTGCTAACAAACTTTGGCTTTATAGCTAGCAGCAGTATTGCAGTGGCTGGCAGCAGTATTGCAGTGGTTGCCCGGCTGGCGGGGCCTGCATCGACGCGATTATCCGCTTCTATACGCGATTATGTATAGAACAGCCGATCTCGTAATCTCGGGATATGCTGGGGCTCGGGCGGCTAGCTGGGGCTCGGTTTAGTAGCCAGGCTCGACGTCTGGCTGCAGGCGTGGGGGATTGCATAAAAAAAACATACTGTGCATGTAGATAGATAAGACCTGCAGAGGACGATTCGTCGCGACTAGGGTTGCAAGACTAGCTCGCGCATTCGACAGCGGCGGATCCGCGGACAACGACTTCTTCACACAACTACCGCTTATCGCACTCACGCCACGCCGTGCTCCATCGCCAGCACATCGGTACGGCGGTAGAATACGTTGGCGTTCTTGCTCAAGACCCAAACGTTAAGCTTGCATTGGGATTCTGTGCCAGCCTGACCCTACTAGTCAGGCCACGACGACGAATCGATGGCAGAGGAACAGAAGTATTGTACGACGCTCGCGACTTCGCCAGCAGGCTCCGACTAGTCCTCAAGGAGCAGGAGGAGGTTCAGTGTCTCATTTGGGATCGCAGTCTGAAGCGGGATCGAGGTAAGAAGGAGTTTTCCGCCAGACCTCGACCAAAATCGGTTGCGGAGCACAATAACATATTGAGAGTATCTGATGCCTAAAACTCATACTATCGCAGTTGGCGGATACAAACGAAGGTGCTCATTAGAACAGGCAGGTAAGGACTATGAAGGAAGGAGTGTGAACAGCACACTGCCTAGTACGAAACGTATCCCTTTCGCATAGCAACTGCTTCTTTCTCACTTCTTAACATCTGCAGGTCATGGTATTAGAATAGCGTATTGGAATACTAATGCCACGGTTTACTGACCTAGGCTGCTATAACCCCAAGGGTAGCCGTCAGCAGCAATTGGCGAGTCTGGCTTGGCGACTGCCTCTCGTTTCTTGACATCTAGGCTACTATAGCCCCAAGGATAGCCGTCAGCTGCGATCGGAGAGTCTGGTTTGGCGACAGCCTCTCGTTTCTTGACATCTAGGCTACTATAGCCCCAAGGATAGCCGTCAGCTGCGATCGGAGAGTCTGGTTTGGCGACAGCCTCTCGTTTCTTGACATCTAGGCTACTATAGCCCCAAGGATAGCCGTCAGCAGCAATCGGAGAGTCTGGCTTGGCCACAGCCTCTCTCTTCTTGACATCTGCAAATGAGGGTGTTAGTATCTGGCAAAATGTGGCTTTGCCACGGTCGGGTACTTGCCTAGGCTGCTATATCCCCAAGGATAGCCGTCAGCAGCAATGGGAGAGTCTGGCTTGGCGACTGCCTCGGCGTCTGGCACAGGAAGAGCGTGTACGAGAGCCAGCAAGCCAGCAATTGTCGATAGGACGTTCGGCATCGTTGCGACTGTATAGAACCCAGATGATAGAGATGGGGTCTTCTTCAGAACTCGGCCTTTGTACAGCAAGAAAGTAGACTCAGAGCTCGGTGGACTGAATATGGATATATATACGCAGAATCGTTTCCTGAGAGAGCTGTTACCGATCCGCGTAATGGGAATCGCTGGAAGTATAGTACCTGACACACTGGACTGGGAGTGCTATATCCCAGTCCTGAGAAAGGAAACTGCATGTTTAGCAAGGCTGTCACAGGACGTGCAGCTATACATTGATACTCTAGCCAGGCCCTTGACTCGGCGGTCGAATAGAGACTCTTGGCGAAACCTCGTGGATTGGCGTAGGTAGCCTGCACAAGCACAGCTTGATACATACCTAACCTCACCCTTCTCGGTCTCTCTCGGTAGTTCGATCATCTCTCCGTCTCCTGATACGTCATTAGCGTTACGAATGATGCGATTGCTATGGCCTATGGTACTATCTCGTGGCCTATCTGCACTCTGTCGGTAGTTGGATTATCTCCCCGTCTCCTAATACCTCATTAGCGTTACGAATGATGCGATTGCTATAGCCTATGAAAATCTCGTATCCCATCTGCAAGTGGCATAGCACGAGTGATGCGATTGCTATGGCCTATGGTAACATCTCGTAGAGTGTTACCGTCGTCTGTTGGTGCCTTATAAACTCAATAAGCTTACTCAATAAGCTTTAGGTACACTGTCCATATCACCTGCCTGATATTCATCGTATCGCTATCACAAACCGGACGAGCTTGTACTCCCAACACCCAGACATCGGAGTTCAGGGTGGAGTTCATCATCTCCTGCTCCGTGTTGACGAAACCTTGGTCCTCAAAGGATAGGATCCTCTCAATGTCCGGGTCGTTTGCGAATACGGGTCGAGTCTTCAAGGTTGTTCCTACTCAGCTTACTACTGTAGTCACAACAGCTTGAGCCTCAGCATCCTCAAACGTATCTGCGGATCTCCAAGATCCTTCTGAAGAGGCAGTAGTGCTAGGCCATCGTAATCCTCGTCTTCTTACAGCCATCTCAGTCCTCATCTTCATCGTCTGTCTCCATGCAGACCCTCTCAGCGTAGCGGCGTGCCGATAGCAGCGAAAAGTCTTCGTAGTGAGAAGCTTCAAGTGAGATATCTCCAGTGAAATAGCAACCCCAGACGTGCAATTGTTGCAACGATTCTTCCCCATTCTCGAAGAGCCGATAGACTATCCAACAGCCATAAAAGCGCCCGACATGACGGAATCTTCAAGATCGTACGCTGGATCTGCGACTCAGACCTACCTTTCCAACCAGATCAGAAGTTCCAAGGACGTTAAGCACCGCGTGGAAAGCGTCTCGGTGAGAGCATTCAGAGATGTGTGGCCACTGACAGAAAGCAAAAAGAGAAAAAATCGAAATCGCCTCACAATTCATCCTTCCGCCACACCTCCTCCACCACCACCACCACCTCCTCCTCCTCCTCCTCACGTCACGAAACCACCGTCCCATTAACAAAAGTCGTATTCGTCGTAAACTCTCCCGCCATCTAATACCACAGCGTAAGTCAGTACCAGCCAACGTCCAAAAGACAAATCCCCTCTCCCCATCAAGACTCACATGCCAGACATCAATCCGCAACGAGAACCCATCCTCCCTCATCTCAACCGGCCTCAAAACCCCGATGGCCACAACATTATTCAACCAATAATACTTGGCATCACCCGTCTCAATGACCACCCTCAAATGCAGTCCACCACCAGGAACCGAAGGGCCGGAAGTCTGCAGGAAAAGGTTGGCTCCGTCGTCGGTTTGGAGATTGTAGCGCGTGTCGGCGCTGAAGATGCCGGTTTGAGGGTCTTTGAGACCCCAGTCTGCGCCGAGATCGAGAATTTTGCCTTGCAGTCTGGGGCCGGTGAAATTGCCGCCGACGATGGGGATGGCTTGCCGGATACCTTTGGGTCCTTGGGTTTCGTAGATTGTGTTGAGGCAGTCTGCGTAGGCGGTGTAGAGGAACTCGAGTGCTGGCGGCGTGGGTTCGTAGGATGGTGCAAGAAGGGTCTGCGCCGAGCCGGTGGCAGCGAGGGAGAGGATGATTGAGGAAAGCAGGGAAGAGCGCATGGCGGAATGTGTGATTGACAGAAGCTACAGCTTGTGATTTCCTGCCATCACGGCGGTGTTTGCTAGAATACTTATACGCAGGTATGTGGTGTGTTCTGCTCACGTCATCCGAGTAAACTCTAGGCACAGAACCAACCTCCATGTGGAACTCGGTACTTTGCAGACAGCCGCTGCCGCAGAAGATCTCCGCTATGTGGTTGTTTCTGTGCACATTCGAAGATGTTGTCGGCGTCGAATGCGGGGAAGTATGGACTGCCGACTTTTCGCCTAAAGAGAAGGGTCGGCGGATATTTCTCCACTGACCATCGTCAGCGGCCTTTGGTAAGTTGAGCAATCATGCGGTCAATGTCGAGCATTTGTTGACTCGTGGCTTTCGTCCTGAGTTCTTCGAGCGCAGCGCGATCTTTGGCTTTGAGAGCCTCCTCGCCTGCTTGTTTGATCATGCCGCATTTCACCCACATCTCAATCCTTTCCGCAGGCGAAAGGGAGGTGCATTTCGAAATGAATGCTGCGGCAACTTTGGGCTGTCCTGCGCCCAGTATTTCGTTGAAGAAAGGCTGTGACACGTCAGCATGGGCATGAAGCAAAACCCGAGGACCTCAGAACAACTTACCTCCCAGCCAATAGGGCTTTTGCGCTGCTTCGACACTTCTTCCAACTCCCTCCAGTCACGGCGACTTACAAGAGCTCGAAGCCGTATCCACCAGTAGGTCTTGTCGCTCACTTTGAACTCGGTTTGAAGCTTTTGGGACCGTTTGATGTTTCCAGTCTTGATGAGCTTCGAAAGTGTCTCGTTGACCGATAAACCAACGTAGCGCGCGTTCACAAGGTCCTTCTCGAAGGCCTCTTGCAGGCGAAGAAGCTTTTGAGCTTCCTCAAGGGCGGTCGCTTGCAGCGCGAACTCCTTGCTGTCTCGTAGCAGCTTCGTTGCCATCTTGAGCTTGTCAGATGCAGGACCAACATCGCTGGCGGTCAGCGCCTCTGTCACCAGCAAGTTGGCACCATCAAGTCTACGATCGTCCTGGTAATACAGGTCCTTGAGCATTTCTTGATCTTGATCAATCGCCGAGGCCTCTACGATCGCTGTTGCGACAGGTCGGCTGTTGATGGTTCGAAAGAAGCTGGAGAGCGGAATCTTCTTCTTCAGATTCAGCAGCACGTAGAAGACCAGATCCGTATCGCCACTTTCGATGGCCTTGTCGAGCGCAATGGTCTCCTCGCCAACGTCCAGCAGTAAGGGAACTTGCTTGCCTGCTCTTGGCTCGTGCTCAAGCAGCTCAGTAGCCAGTTTTCCTCTTCCTTCATCATATGCAGCTCGCGCTACCTCCTCGAATGAAATGCCACGCTTGCCATTGAGCTTCTGCACGATTTCCTCGCAAATCTTGTCCTCGTCCGTGCTCGAACTGCGCACTTTTTGACGTGCCCAAGACACATAGATTTTGTCGACTGGCAGATGGAGATATTGCGATACCTTGAGGGCCAACAGAAACTCTCGCCGGTTGACTAGCCTCTGCACAAGACGTTCCGGTGTCAGTCGAATGTATTGGTCGTAGGACACGGGGAGGCCAATCTCAAAAGATCTCACAGCATTCAATACCCTCAATGCTTCAGTCATGTCGACAAAATCGTCGCTGTTGTAGAGGTCAAGCACCGACTTGCCGAATGATGCAGCCTTGAGGAGTTGCTTCTGCCAGTGGATGCTATACTCCTGACCTGCCGCACGTACACAGGTGTCGACAGCTTCGTCGAGATTGGCCCTAATCAGTTGGATGTTGTCGTCCGCTTTCGGCGACTTGTTCTCCAGCTGGCTGATGGCGTCGAGCAGCACAGCGGGAGGCGAGGCCGAGCCGGGCTTGAAAACCTCTTCGGTCGCATCAGGCACCTTTTGCACAAATTCGCAGACGTCGTTGGTCAGGACGCGGATGCCGTCGATGTCTGGCAGAAGGTGGACGATTGAATTGTACTCCCATGTTGACGCTGCTCCATTTGGCCCGATCAGGTGGATCTCGTCTTCCCAGGCAAGTACGACTGCATTGTTGCCACACCACTGCAGGTCACGCGGCGCAGTCTTGACGTTGGATTCATATTCGCTGAATCGTTCTTGGAAGTCACTGCCGATGACCCAGACTTTGCTGTCATCGGTGTAGAGGGCAATGAACTTGCCGTTGGGCGATACGGCGATGTGTCGGAATGGCCCAGCTTGAAGGCCTCTATCCTCACACTCCACCGCGTCCAGCACGTAGACAGTATCGTTTATGGCGAGCAGGACCTCCACCGAGCGGGATGATGTGTATTCTGGAGGGATCACAGTCCACGAGATGACCTCGCCCGACGGGGCAGACGCCAGGAGCTGCGGTCGCGGCTCGTCGTATCGCGTGACGGCGACGACACTGTTGTTACCCAGCAGCGCGACAAATCCGCTGGACCAGAACTTGCAGGCCACCACGCCATGCTCATCGGCGCCATGACCCAAGGTGAAGGGAGTGAAATCGCCGTGCAAGTCTGGGTATATGCGCACGCTGCCATCCTCCGTAACAACCAGCAGCTTCTCATCTTCCGACCATCCTACGCTTTTAATCTTGCCTCGGTCCCATTGAATGTGCTGTATCAGCTTGCCGGCGCAGCTGTGGATGTCGATGGTGGATTTGGCGGATTGAGGGCCGCGGAACGAGTATACTTTGCTCTCATCGCGTCGCAGTGCTGCTCACGTATTATCAGAGCTATCCACGTCTTGTCGTTGCATGCGCTTACCTACTGCACCACTGTACGGAGCGCCGGTTACGGTGTAGTTCTCCAGCGCGAGGTCGACGTCGAAGACATTGGTGTATAGCTCGACTTTGCGGTAGAACTTGTCGCCGATGCGCCTCCAGTTCGTCCGTGGGCCCGACATGTCAGCGTCGTTTGCGCCTCATGTCGCGGGTATCATGCGAGGTGGTGTTGTTGTTCTTGTGGTACAGCAGATGACATGGCTGCCTCTGCCTCGAGCTGCGAAGAGTCCGTGCACTGCATGAGCTCGACTTCCACATTGCAACATCATCATCAACGCAACGACAGCGAACAAGCTTGGGGGGAACTCTCACTCACCATGCAAATTGATCCATGATTGCCGTAACCGTACCCGGCGCAATGGACGACTTGCAGTCCCGCATACAGGATCTGGGAGACGTGGAACTTGCCGTGCTGGTGGCCGTGGTCGCTGGCGAGCATTGCATATTCTCTGCCTCCAGCGACAGTGTGCAGAGCTTGCGAGCAGAGCTGAGCCTGACGTGCATGAACCGCTTCCTCCGCCAGCCGGTTGTCATCGACTGCTCGCCCGAGACGACTGTGGACGAATTCAGCGAAGCATTGCTGGTCGAGAACGAAGAAGGCTTCGATGACTCCCTGGATGACCGGTATGGCGCCGCACGACCCACTCTGGAAGTGAAATTCCATCCTGCCCGAGAGCCAAGTCCTGGTCGCTTGGGGAGTCTGGCAAATCTCGAAGAGAGGCGGCTGGCAGATGTGGTCATTGCCGTCGGACTGGATTCTGCCACAGAAGCAGTCCAGGTGCAGGCCTTCGAGTTGCTTCGATCACGACGCATCTTCACCAGGTCCGCCATGCATGTGGCACCCACGGACCTCCTGTTCATCGTCATTCTATCCTCGCCGGAAGCTCGGTTGACGCGCCATCTCAACGACCTCTTCTGCATGTCGCATCACCATGCTGATGACGATGCGTTCATTCACCTTGAAGGTCAGCTGAACACCGCAGAAGTGCCGACGATAAACGCGCAAGACATCACAGAACTGCGAGACCTAGCCAACCACGTCAATCTGACACATGAGATCGCGCAATACCTTCACAACATTGTCGTCTTTATGCGGAACAGCCGTTTCATCAAGGGCGGCGTGACAGCGACAGCAACGAGGCAGCTTCGCATTCTCAGCATGGCTCTCGCTTCACTCCACGGCCTTGACTACGTGTCACCTTCCTTGGTCGCCTTGGCGGCCCGCAAGATCTATCCTCATCGACTCGTGCTTGCGACAGAGAAGACGGAACGGAGCCTCCTTTGGGGTAGTGATCCGAGAGCAATCCGACATCTCATGCAAACCGTCACAGTTGAAGATGCGATTGAGAATGTTTTGGGAAGTGTCGAGGCGCCGCTGTGAACAAATCAAAAGTTCAACAGCTGCTGCAAAAGCTATCTTCACTCTGCTCGACCGGCGTGGAAGCGATCAAGATAAGTCACACTTCGACTGCGATCTGGTCTTCCTGTCGATAGATTCGAAGAGCGTAATCAGTCTACACTCAGATAATTCAGTCGGGTAGTGCTGGACATGCTAGACCTCTTCGGTTTAATCATGACACCTCGACGTCAGAGCGGTATCGTAGCGGGCCATTATGTATTGTCCCGGAAACGCCATAGACGTGACAGATTCACTTCCGGCCAGTCAACCCGAATGAGCTCTGGTGCAATGAGAAGCACGACTGCCAAACTCTCCAACATCTGAGAAGAAAGAAATCCCGGAGAAAAGCGAGGAGCCATACACGGCGTCAACCACGATCTCCATGATTTGCGGCGCCCCGGCATGTCGATGGAGGATGATGGCACGTTGGACATCATGCTCACTGCTCGGTATTTCACACCGTCCAGGCTCCATGTGCTATGCGCCAAATCACGCGCTCTTCGCTTGACGGGCTCCTCTGACATTGCAGGTCCAACAGCTCCAATCCAAAGCGAATCACCAGCTCCGCTAGCATAACCATGCAAACTCGAACAGCGAACATGTTACGAGACGACATATCCGCGATCACGTTCGGGTGGCGGCATCGAGTCAAAGGAATAGCTACGACCTGTGAAAGACGAAAGTAAAGCAGGTAGACTAGTCGGATAACGTGGATAATGCTCTATTAATTTCTAGAGATTTCTTAATAAACTTTATTAACCTAGAAGACGGTCTTTAGATAGAAAAATAGCAAATAGCCTTCTAGTTCCGATCGGATTAAGTATTAGCTAATAAGGTAGATAAGCTTCTATATATAGATAAGCTAAAGCCTATAGAGTATATAGTCGAGATATAGCGTCTACTTTAAGATCTCTCTATAGCCGAATAACGCCTAAGAGAGAGAGTATAACGAAAGAGTATAAGACCTAGTTTATAAATAGCCTTATTTAATGCCTTTTCTACTTAGAAGGCCTACGTAGACTATATAATTAGTATAGTCTAGACTACTATAAATAATAAATATCTCTATAATTAAGCTATATATCGTCTTTATCGGTATTATACCTATAATACGAATTCGACTTTAGTACTACTACTATCTCTATCTATAAACTCTATCTTAATAGCGAGCGAGGAATATACTATTCTATAAAATTAATATCTATAAATTAGGTTCGAGTTAAGCTTTTCCTATACTTTAGGAATTAGGAGAATTTTCGATAGCTACTACTAGTATATTTATTAATATATACGAAGAGCGAAAATGTTAGAGCTAAAGAGGCTATACGTAATTAGTATATAATCCGGCCGAGTAAAGCTAGGGTCTTAGTGCCTTAGGTAGGGCTTAGCGCTTAGCGTTAGGCTAACTAGCCTACCTTCCTCCCTCTCCTCTTAGATCTCTATCGAATACTACCTATACCTACTACTACCCTATCTACCTGCTAATATACCCTTCTTATATAGTATTCGATCTACCCTTTAAGGGCAGTAGCTAGATAGTTCTTATTTCAAGCTTTTAGCGGTATAGCTACGAATAAGACTAATCTAACTATATTATGCCCGAAGAACGGGACCTATACGTACTATTCTATCGAAACAACCGTACTAATTATTAAGCAAGGCCTTCTATACGGCCTATTATACTAAGTTAAGCATACTAGGCCGATATCTACTAATTCCGCTATACCCGTACCTTAGGGGCTAACAATACATTATTAGTATTACCCCTTACAATAGCCGGTTTATTACGAAATAACAACCGTGCTACCGCTAGTAGCGCTAGTAACGACAACGCTAGTAGCACAGTGCCTACTAAAGTGCCTACCGAGGCTCCTACTAAAGTGCCTCCTACTAAAGGGCCTACTACTAAGCCTACTACTAAGCCTACTAAAGAACCTGTAATTCTAGGCGACGACCTAGAATTGCCTATCGACGACATTCTTAACAATATTGTTAACCGTCGATATAGCTAACTAGCCTTTAGGCCCTAACTAGTAGGGAGACTCTAAGAAGCTACCTAAAACAGGCTTACTACCTTGCGTTAGGAACAATAGCTAAAGGATAATCTCCTCGAGATTCGCCGCCTATAGGAAGCCCTAACAACTAATACTAAGCCGATAGTAGGGCCTTCCTTACTACCCGTCCCTATCTAAAAGAAGGATACTAAGCTTAAGGACTATACCGTATTTAACGGCTCTAGTCGCAAGCAATACAATAATTATATACGCGATTGTGAGCTTAACTAACGAAATGCGCCGAGGGCCCTTCTAGACGACTATTTACTAGTTGTCTACGCTATATAGTACATTAATAGCGACCTAAAGCGTACCTAGGATAACTATTTCGACTCTCTTACTAATTAGACCGCTGTTTAGTAGCAAGACTATAAGACTATTATGCTAGACACCCTTAGAAACCCTATACTAAGGCAACAATACGCTTAGGACTAGTACCTTCGAGCTAAGCAAAAGACTAATTAATCGGCTCGCTTATTTAAGGCCTATTTAAAGACTCTCGAAGACGATTTGCTAGCTAAGACCGACTCTATCTAGATTTCCGAAATACGCCCTAAATTGCGATAGGAATTAGTCCTTAAATTAGACCGCCGTCGCGTGTTCGAACAGACTAATCTTATACGCATTTAATTTATAGTCGAAGTCGAAACTACTAAACGAGCTGTCTAGCTCTAGTAACGACTAGAATTAAGGATCCGACCTACTAGCAACCGTAGCAACCGTAGCTACGGAGGAAACTAAGGTTCCTACTAAGACAACAATACTAACAATAGGAATAGTAACAACGACCGTAGAAGAAGCCGTAGCCGGCGGCTATATAGAGGAGGCCGTAATAGGGGCCGTAGAAGGGGCTCGTATCCCTATAGCACTAATCGCTTAACTAATAATAGCAGCAATAGCGGCTATAGCAACCCCCTAACTAGATTAAAGTGCTTCAATTGTAATAGTACTAGCTATCTACTAGGCTAATACGACAAACCTAAGGACTAGGCCCGAATCGACCGTACTACCGCTAAGCACCGAAAGCACCTTTTAGTAGCTAACGCTACCCCTATAGGCTAACCTTCGAAAAAAGAGTAAGCGCCGTACTAACTGTTAGCCTTATACGGCGTAAGACTATCGACATTGTACTAGCTATTATACGTACCTATCTCGTAGGGGATATATATAGGAACAATTATAAAACCTAGGTTACGCTAGACCTAGGAAATAGAGTTAGTGCCCTTATTAACTATCGCCTAGCTAAGTAATTAGACCTTCGACAATTGCCTAGGACTAACCTACTAACCCTTGCTTAGTTTAATAACGCTCGGCACTTGATCTACGGGGCCTACTATGTTTATATAGCCCTAAAGGACGACCTCGGCAATAAGCGCCTACTAAACTTTACTACCTACGTAGTAGACATAGACAGCCTCCTATCTAATATTATTATTAGCAACCCTGTTCTTAAGTACTATGCTATAGTTATAGACTTAGGCAGTTAATAATAGCGGTTTAGAATCGCTAGGAAAGAGGACATTAAATATATTAATGTTAGCGAGTGCCCTAATAATATTAGGGTCCTATTTATTAGCAACCTAACCCTAGCTAATCCGACTACCGATCTGCTCGGTAGTAATAACGATAAACCTGTGCCTCCTAATAATCCTAATTAGCTTGCTCGCATACTAGAGCCTATCCGAGAGACCTATATTAATGTGTTTAAACACTACCTAGCATCGACATTGCCTATGTTTAAGGAGACGGATTATAAGATTAATATTATAGAGGGCAAAGAGGTTCCTTTTAGACTACTCTACAACCTTAGTAAGCGCGAGCTTGCTATATTACGTAAGTACCTAGAGGAAAACCTAGCTAATAGTCGTATTCGGTATAGTAACAGCCCTGCTAGTGTACCTATCCTGTTCGTACTAAAGAAGGATAGTAGCCTACGCCTATATATCGACTATCGTAGGCTTAATGCTATTACTATTAAAGACCGCTATCTACTCCCTCTTATTAATAAGACGCTCGATCGCCTTTCTAGGGCCTACTTCTATACTATACTAGACATTAAGGATGCGTACTATCGTATCTGTATTCGTAAGGGCGACGAATAGAAAACAGCCTTCTATACTCGTTATAGCTATTTTAAGTACTTAGTTATACTATTTAGTCTAGCTAATGCCCCTGCTACATTCTAGTCCTATATCAATCGGGCCCTTTCGGGTCTATTAGACTATCTCTATATAGTTTACCTAGATAACATCCTAGTCTATACCTATTTACCTAATATTGTAGAGCACTAGGCTATAGTGCGTAAGGTGCTCGACCGCCTACGGGCCTATAGCCTATATTATAAGCCTTCTAAATGCACCTTTGCTACTAAAGAGGTGTCCTTCCTTAGCTTCCTCGTATTAACCGAGGGTGTTAAGGCTAATCCTAATCGGATTAAGACTATTACTAAGTAGCTAATACCTACTAGTATTAAAGAGCTTTAATCGTTCCTCGGCTTTGCTAATTTCTACCGTCGCTTTATTAAGGGCTATTTATAGCATATAATACCCCTAACTAAGCTTACTAAAACTAAGGCCAACCCTACTAGAGAATTCAAATAGACTAATAGAGCGCAAGCCGCTTTTAACGGTCTAAAGCAACGCTTTACTAAAGTTCCCTTATTGTAGTCCTCGCTGTCTGCCAAAGCTTTGTAGAATTTCGCTGCGGCTTGCGCTATACCTTTGCTGGCAGCATCGGGCTTGTCCTTATAGAGATGATATTTCGATGCGGCGTACATGATCAGGCTCTCCTTGTCTCCAGGCTTTGAAGATAGTAGGTATGGAATGTGCGAGGTCAGGAGCCACTCTCGAGGATGATTCATCGGTAATGCGTCGACCGTGTAGCGTATACAATATAGGGCCCCCGTCGCGTACCGGACTCGTTCCGAGGTCGTCGTATATCGTCGTAGTTTCCTCGGAAACTAGCTTAGACTAGCGGGGCAAAAAACTAAACCGGAACCAAACCGGAGGGGTACCGCTAAGAAACTAAACTATATACGTTTAGTAGTTCGCAAACCGAACTACTACGGGGTCTACTAACGCTTTATAGTTCGCTATATTAGCTATTATGTTATAGTAGGCTAATAACACCTACTAGCACCCGATTGCCTTCTTCTCGAGGAAGATAATTAATACTAAACGTCGCTACGAGACCTACGAGCAAGAGCTCCTAGCTATTATCGAGGCCTTTAAGTATTAGAGGCACTATCTCGATAGGGCTTAGTATACAATACAGGTCTATATAGACTATAACAACCTCCGTAGTATTACTAAGGTTACTAGGGTTATAGGTCGATAGGCTAGATAGGCCGTCTACCTCGCTAGGTTTGATTTTAATATATTATATCGGCTAGGCGTAAGCAACCCTACTAATAGCCTATCGAGGCGACCTAATTACGATAGCGAAACCTAATACATTAATTCTTTATTTCTAACCCTATAGTATAAGATCGCTATAGCCCGTATTGTTAATAAGTAAGCGTAGGATAAGCGGCTTACCGGGCTCCGCGACGGCTTAAAGCATATTAATGCTCTTACTATATTAATAGTGCGTATTAAGGCAAGAGCTAAGGATACAGATAGGAGAAGTTATAATAACTCCCTAGTCGATATCGCAATATATAGTAACAGCGATAGCACTAATGCAGTTAATCCGGCTACTAGTACTATTAGATACATATAATGCGTACCTCGTTTAATAGCAAGGGTGCTATTAAATAACCTTACAAATAGGGATAGTCAATCGTTTATAGATAAGCTATTACGGGCTTAGCAGAGGGACGCCTTTGCTACTAAAC